ACAGTTGAGAGGCAGAGGTAGGTGGATCAAGGCTGGCGTGATCTACATAGTGAGTTCCAGGACAGCCAGAGCTATGTAGAGAACCTGTCCTAGCCTACCCTCAAAAAAAAAATAAAAAAAAAAGGGGGGGGGGAATCCTTCTTAGTTCAACACAAATTGTCACTGCATAACCAGTTCAAAAAAGTATTCATTAGAAAAGAGGAAACACTTTATTATCAGGAGGCTTTGAGATAGACAGTAGACAGTTGGATGCTCTCAAGAGACTAGAGCTAGGAAGACCCAAACTGGGTTCAAACAAGGAAATCATCAGTAAGAACACTGTCAGTGAATTGCTCTCAAGCAAAATAGCCCAAGAGATTCTTCCATCACCCACACTGCATCACAAACAAACCACAGCAAGTGACTATCCCCTGGATCCCACTGATCTCATCCTGACCAAGAGCAGAACAAAGATTCCACAGATATTGTTGTATCAGGAATTTAACTTAATATTAAAGTCTTACTTAAAAAACATGGACAAGGGGGTTGGAGAGATGGCTCAGAGGTTAAGAGCACCAACTGCTCTTCCAGAGGTCCTGAGTTCAATTCCCAGCAACCACATGGTGGCTCACAACCATCCGTTATGAGATCTGGTGCCCTCTTCTGGTGTGCAGATATACATGAAAGCAGAAAAAAATGGACAAAAATGAACATTACCCCAGCTCAGGGCTGAAACACACTAAACTGAACCAATGACATGCAAACAGCACATACCTAAGGGTGTTTTTATTCTGGAACATGGAGAATGAATTCAAGTGACCAGGTGAATAAAATAATGAGCAGACCATCACCCTGAGAGAGATAAATGGGAATCCAAGAATATCAGTCCTCATCTGCCTGACTTATACTAACTACACGTGGTGGTCCTGTACAAAAAAACCACAGGGCGGCAAGAACTGCATCAGAGCCTGTAACACTGCATTCATGCCTGTGCTCCTATACCTAACTTTGATAAAAAGATTTTGTTTTCAAAGGATTTAGGACCCAAGTTTTACTGCTTGTCTGTGTCACACCTATGATTCATGCCAGTAACCAACTGTAACTGTGCCTAGCTTGCTAAGGTTGCCTTGTATATTAATCTCTAATATCTAGTATATTAACTCTCATTTTTAACAAAACTCCAGTCATAAGTAGCATTTTACAGGAATTTAATTTTCCATAGGCTATAAAATTGGATTTTAATTCTTCCAACATCTGTCTTGCCCAAGGATGATTACATAAGTTCCTTACTATAACCTTTTTGTTCTATATACATTCTTAATGAGGGAAATAAAAGTGAAAAATGCCAATGTTTCTCAAGCATAAATATAAAAATCATTTTAAATCATTTCTTGTACATCACAGTTGACTTGTATGAAGGTAATAACTGAATTACAAGAAAAATAACTACAAGTGATGCCACAGCATTATTGGTTGCTTCAGGTGTTTCTAGACTCTGCTGAAGCTGGCTCTGGTCCCTATGGTTCTATTGCAATGACCAAAGGCCATATTTTCAGATATGGAATTGTTCAGGAATCTTCTCACATATCTAATGACAATTAGATGACAGCTAGGAACCTTTCTATACTATTTTTTATACCACATTTTTCTTCAGTGAGCCCATAAAAATACTAAGCTGCTCAAGTCTATTCTCTTGATTTATCTGTGAAGGGCAGTAGAGTTTACTGACTGAGGTTCCTTCCTAATTGTAGGTGGGTTCCTTCTACCTAGATGGTTTAAGCCTCCATATTCTTCACTGTCAAGCATCTCTTCTTCATATGTTCTCATGGATAAAGAGAATTCACTGCTACTTTGCAATCATCAAATATTTAAGCTGGCACTCAAAAATATGTTTACGTATAATAAACACATATGACTGTTGGGATCGGCCCACATGGGATCTTGGGGAAGTTACTTACCTTACAAGCTATGAAATGGTAATGAATGTCCTACTACCTGTACTCTAATATTATTTTGAAGTATCAATAAGTAATTATGCTGTCCTGCTTAAATAAGCACTGAATTTAATTATTTCCATGTAATTATGTCATGAAACATAAATTTTAACAAAAGAAGGTAGTCCCCATGACTTCCAGCACGCTCTGCATTGCTCCCACTGCCAAAGAAATCTAAAAACAAAGATTTTTTTAAACTTTCTGAGCAACTATTAGCATTTAAAAACACAACACATACCCACAGAAATAGCACCTATTACCTCAATCTACTGGATGAATGACGCCCATGTGTCCTTCCACTACACATTATGTTAACTGTCCACTGCAGCGATGGGGACTTTGCAGTCAGATATTAACACCTTCAATTTATAGACTGCAGGATTTTTTAGAAATAAAGGAAAACACAACACCTGTTTAGGATATGTCTATCATTTCATGAATGGGAAGATTATAATCTAGAATGAAGGTACAAGGTCAGAGGGTTAGAGAGTCCAGCACCTCCAGAGTCACAGTAAAGTATTTCCTTGTATTATTATTCTACTTCTATTAAACTATATCCTAAGTCTGAAGGCCAGGCAGGGCAACTCAAGTCTGTGATTCTAGGTCTGAGGTATAAGGATGGTCACTGCAAGTCTGAGGCCAGCCTGGGCTACAAAGCACTGAAATCACATACTAATCATTTATTGTTTTCTTCTGTGAAAAAAGAACGTGCTGTATTCTCCTCTTAAAATCCGCATTGATTTTTAATATTTTTCAAAAATAGCTCTAATGGTATACTTCAATTCTTTAAGATACAAACAGTTATGGGCTGGGTGTGGTGGTGCAAGCCTTTAATCCCAGACTCAGAAGGCAGATGCAGGAGGATCTCTGTGAGTTCAAGGCCAACCTTGTCTACAGAGCTAGTTCAGGACAGCCACAGCTGCACAGAGAAACCCTGTCTCAAAAACAAAACAAAACAAAACAAAAGATACAGACAGTTAGTTAATGTTCATAGGTACACTTTTAAATGTTCATTACCATTCTAGCTCTACTTTCTATTCAGGTATGATAAACACCACTTATTATAGCTAACTTTTTTAAAGTAAGAGAAAGCAATCAGAAGGACCAGTAAGCCAATTGGCAATCTTCTCTTTTCTCTAAAGAGCTCTAGATAACTTGTTCCCTTGTTGTGGCCAATGTTGCACTTTCCTGCCATAATGAGCCTTAAGTGCCACCTCTCTCTACTGCCAGCAGGTCTGCTTGTGTCCACCTCCACCACCTCTCACCAACCCGTGAGAAAAATGTATAAAACAAAACTAACTTTATTCTTGGTAAATCCATTAGAGATCTATAAATATCAAGCCCAAACATTGTATCTATCAGAGCTAACTGTTAAAAGCATTTCCAAGCCGGGCGTTGGTGGCACATGGCTTTAATCCCAGCACTTGGGAGGCAGAGGCAGGTGGGTCTCTCTGAGTTCAAGGCCAGCTGGTCTACAGAGCTAGTTCCAGGACAGCCTCCAAAACTACACAGAGAAACCCTGTCTCAGAAAACAAAAAAAAAAAAAAAAACAAAAAAAAAAAAAAAGGAAGGAAGGAAGGAAGGAAGGAAGGAAGGAAGGAAGGAAGGAAGGAAAGAAAAGCATTTCCATCACCCTCTTATTCTAATCCAGTTCTTAAGATGAAGACAACACTAAGTGCACAAAGTGCTCATGTGATTATACGCCGTGTCCTGGAAATGTTTTTGCTTTGAAAACATTTTGTAAGTGACTTATTGAGGTACGACTGACAGGCACAGTGTTAACAAAGCCTGGAAACAAGCTTAGTCATGAAGCAAGCTATCACCACCACAGTCATCGTTAACTTCATGCTACACTCCTCTCTATTCCAACACCGCCCCCCAAACGCCTCTTCAGTTAATTTTTGTAATGTTAGTATTTCACTTGGGGCCTTTTTCCCATTTCTTAGAAAAACAAGAGTGTTTAATTAAACTTCACAATAACATCCATCAAGATGCACAAGGTCCTGTATCTTTAGTCCTAACCATCTGATCATGCACATCAGTATAGCTCTAAGACACAACCCAAAGCCGGGCGTTGGTGGCGCACACCTTTAATCCCAGCACTTGGGAGGCAGAGGCAGGCAGATCTCTGTGAGTTTGAGGCCAGCCTGGTCTCCAAAGTGAGTGCAAGGATAGGCTCCAAAGCTACACAGAGAAACCCTGTCTCGAAAAACCAAAAAAAA